GTGTTAGGTTACCTGCTAGGCAGACAATTAATATTCTAAACAGGGTGACTTTGTTAGAAAAACGTATCTAATCCACTGAAAATGTGCTGCAGGGTCAATAGACAAGACAATATTGGAGCAGGTAAGTATGAAACATTAGGTTACATGCTAGGTAAATAATTTATGGTAAAGACCACTGGAATCTAGCAGGCTGTTGTAGTAGGGCATATGTCTGTGTGGGGCTAAGCGGGAGTGTCTGCAAGTGTTCTCAGCCCACTCCACAAGACGGGACATTGCAATGGTGTTGGGAAGCCAGTCCATCGGGCCATGGGAGGGCCCTGTCTGCCCCTTACTAGATTGAGGATCCACTGTGCTCCTTTGGAATGTCCTTCCCTGTCAGAGGGACTTTAAGCCTGCCTTGTAACTAGTCGCTGCCAGCCGATCATGGAGTTTCGTCGTTTGTGTACCACGCGTCTTTGGCCTGAAGCCTTAAAGGGTACTCGCGCCTTTTGACCATGGATCATGTTGTGAGGATCGTGGGTCCAGGGTTCCTCTGGTCCCTGGTTGTCCCCCTTGGTGTATGGTTGGCGAAGGAGAGGTGCCTCCAGGTGAGTACCGTGCCGAGAACAAGGGCGAGTGGCAAAGACAACAGCGTTGTCCACCTTTGAGGATGGCTGAGCTGGAGCAGTAAGGCTGTTTGTTGGAAGGGCTTCTGACTGGAGCTGTGGAGCTGTGGGGCAGGAGTCGTAGGTGGCTGCAACTGCTCTGCACAGGTTGCAATGCGGCGCCAGAACGCTGCACAGATCCTTTCGAAATCGGCATTGAATTTGGCTTCCCGTGGCATCTTAGGTTGTTTCCCCGCTGCGTCGGACATTTTGGTTGCAGCCCAGGAGCGAGTCGTGGCAACACAGACTGCCGGGATGCTCTCAACTGCATTTTCCCCTATGGGGAACGGAATGTCCCCACCGGTCCAGAGGGGAGGGAACAGGTCGGTATCCCAGTGGCCCCAAAGAGGAGGATTGGCCATTTCCTTCCCCCGTGCTAGCAGCCAGGTGAGTAGGCCGCAGAAGCTGATTCTGGCCTCGTGTCGGCGGACGAGACTCTGGAGTCTCTTGAGAGGGTTCCTCATCGGTTAATTGTGGTACCTAATCTCGTTTGGTGCATTTTGGTGCACGTTTGTATATTTACATAGAAAATTATACCTTTTATGCATATGCATGTTTATAATAATGAAATACATTCATATTAGTAGTAGTATTTATTTACCATCAACAGATTATGCAGCACTTTACAATTTTAAAATAGGGATCAAGAAAATTACAGTGTATAACAGAGACAAGAGGTGAAATAACAACATATCGGGGAAGGGGGTGGGGGGGATTGATATGATGCCTGTGTTGAAATAAACTAGTAGAACTGGTATGTGGAAGAACCTAGCAGTGACAGGAGAAAGAGTGACCTGGGCTATGGAGGGCAGGGAATTGTTGAGGACAATGAAATGGGAAATATATCACCCAGAAAATGGAAAAATGGTAGAATTTTCTAAAGAGGTGTGTTTTCCGTGACTAGAGGATAGGAGAGAATCTGATGGCACAGGGTAGCAACTTCCAAAGTAGTGATGTAGCCCTTGAAAAATCTTGCAGATGAGAGTTTGCAGTTTGGGAACAAGCAGATGTCAGGAGAAAGTCATTTGCACAGAGAAAGGAATAAAGAGGGGTGAGGAAATACAGTGAAGTGTGGAATTATTGAGGGCCTTGTAGGTTAGTGTTAACATTTTGAATTGGATAGCGAAGGGTACAAGAAGCCAACAGAATAACTGGCAAAGGAATGAGGTTGGAATAGTGGTCAGCCAGGAAGATGAGCATGACTGCAGCATTCATTACAGACTAAAGAGAGGAAACAGGAGTATTTGGAAGGCTGATGAGTAGTGAGTTGCAATAGTCAAGTTGTGAAAAAAAGAGTGCATAAATAAGTTCCTTACTTGTATCTTGAGTTAGAAAAGAGTAAAGGTGAGCAATATATTAAGGTGAAAGTTACAGGATTTGGAGACAGATTGGATGTGAGGAGGGAAGGTAAGACTTGAGTCAAAAGTAACATCAAGGCAGCAAGCTTGCAGAGTTTGGTTAATAAGGGTCCCATTGACTTGAGATTGATGGAGAGGGACTATTTGATGGTTGAATGAAGAGGTCAGTTTTAGAAAGATTATGTGTTAAGACAGCAGGAACATATCCAGTTAGAGATAAAAAAAAAAAAGGCAGTTTGTGCTGCATTCCAGGAGAGAGTTTCAAGGAGGTAAATCTGAGCATTGCCAGCATAAAGATGGTATTACAATCTAAATGAGTTAGTAAGATTACTGAGAGAGAAAGTGTCAATGGAGACTAAAAGAAGACAGGGCCTTGTGGAACATCAAGAGGAACAGTGGGGAGGATGTGCTGCCAAAGAAAAAGAACATTCAGAAAAATAGGATTAAAACCAGGAATGCACAATTTCATGGAGTCCGTGGTTGTGTAGGATTTGAAGAAGAGGAGGTTGGTCAACACTATCAAAGGTAACAGAGAGGTGAATTACAATTAAGAGTGTAATTATAATTTACACTATAGTCACTAAAACTACTTTAGCTTAAAGGACCTCTATAGGCACCCAGACCACTTCAGCTCAATGAAGTGGTTTGGGTGCCAGGTTCCTCTACTTTTAACCCTGCAGCTGAAAACATAGCAGTTTCAGATAAACTGCTATGTTTACACTGAGGGTTAATCCAACCTATAGTTGCTGACTCACTGACAGCCATTAGAGGCCACTTCCGCAATTCTCACTGTGAAAATCACAGTGAGAAGACGATGACGTTCATAGGAAAGCATTGAGTAATGCTTTCCTGTGGGCGGTTTGAATGCGCACGCGGATGTCGGCGCTGTCGGCCGAAGGAGGAGAGTTTCCCAGCGCCGAGGATGATTCTTTGATAAGAATCATCATTTATCTGCTAAGATCACTTAGATTTTAATGCCAGCATTTGAGAAAACACACTAGCTCTTGAATCTCTACAGAGTTTCAAGTCAGATAAGCTTTGTTTCTGACAATAGATTACTGGAGTTGCCCTTTCATATACAGTTGCAAGAAAAAGTATGTGAACCCTTTGGAATGATATGGATTTCTGCACAAATTGGTCATAAAATGTGATCTGATCATCATCTAAGTCACAACAATAGACAATCACAGTCTGCTTAAACTAATAACACACAAAGAATGAAATGTTGCCATGTTTTTATTGAACACACCATGTAAACATTCACAGTGCAGGTGGAAAAAGTATGTGAACCCTTGGATTTAATAACTGGTTGAACCTCCTTTGGCAGCAATAACTTCAACCAAACGTTTCCTGTAGTTGCAGATCAGACGTGCACAACGGTCAGGAGTAATTATTGACCATTCCTCTTTACAGAACTGTTTCAGTTGAGCAATATTCTTGGGATGTCTGGTATGAATCGCTTTCTTGAGGTCATGCCTCAGCATCTCAATCGGGTTGAGGTCAGGACTCTGACTGGGCCACTTCAGAAGGCGCATTTTCTTCTGTTTAAGTCATTCTGTTGTTGATTTACTTCTAAGCTTTGGGTCATTGTCCTGTTGCTACACCCATCTTCTGTTGAGCTTCAGCTGGTAGACAGATGGCCTTAAGTTCTCCTGCAAAATGTCTTGATAAACTTGAGAATTAATTTTTCCTTCGATGATAGCAATCCGTCCAGGCCCTGACGCAGCAAAGCAGCCCCAAACCATGATGCCCCCACCACCATACTTCACAGTTGGGATGAGGTTTTGATGTTGGTGTGTTGTGCCTTTTTTTCGCCACACATAGTGTTGTGTGTTTCTTCCAAACAACTCAACTTTGGTTTCATCTGTCCACAGAATATTTTGCCAGTACTGCTGTGGAACATCCAGGTGCTCTTGTGCAAACTGTAAACATGCAGCAATGTTTTGTTTGGACAGCAGTGGCTTCCTCAGTGGTCTCCTCCCATGACATCCATTCTTGTTTAGTGTTTTACGTATTGTAGATTCGCTAACAGGGATGTTAGCATTTGTCAGTGACTTTTGTAAGTCTTTAGCTGACACTCTAGGATTCTTCTTCACCTCATTGAGCAGTCTGCACTGTGCTCTTGCAGTCATCTTTACAGGGCGGCCACTCCTAGGGAGAGTAGCAGCAGTGCTGAACTTTCTCCATTTATAGACAATTTGTCTTACCGTGGACTGATGAACAGCAAGGCTTTTGGAGATACTTTTATAACCCTTTCCAGCTTTATGCAAGTCAACAATTCTTAATCGTAGGTCTTCTGAGAGCTCTTTTGTGCGAGGCATCATTCACATCAGGCAATGCTTCTTGTGAAAAGCAAACCCAGAACTGGTGTGTGTTTTTTATAGGGCAGGGCAGCTGTAACCAACACCTCCAATCTCATCTCATTGATTGGACTCCAGTTGGCTGACATCTCACTCCAATTAGCTCTTGGAGATGTCATTAGTCTAGGGGTTCATGTACTTTTTCCACCTGCACTGTGAATGTTTACATGGTGTGTTCAATAAAAACATGGCAACCTTTCATTCTTTGTGTGTTATTAGTTTAAGCAGACTGTGATTGTCTATTGTTGTGACTTAGATGATGATCAGATCACATTTTATGACCAATTTGTGCAGAAATCCATATCATTCCAAAGGGTTCACATACTTTTTCTTGCAACTGTAGCAAGGGTAATCGTTAGATACACTGAGAATATATTTATTTATTTATACAGTATGTATACATTACAAAATAATACATACAAAGGCGATATTGCATGTATCCCTTTAACTTATTTGATAATAAAAATGATCAGGGCTGGATTTACCCTCCATGCTGTCCCAATGCCAGTATCCTCAATACACCCCCTGATATATATATATATATATATATATATATATATATATATATATATATATATACTGTGTAAAGCTTGTCATTAAAAAATTCCGTTAGTCCAAATAAAAAAGGTATTACAAGATACAAATTGTATCTAATATGGCTACAATCTCTACTTGAACATATATATATGTTCAAGTAGAGATTGTAGCCATATTAAAGGTATTACAAGATACAAATTGTATTTGTTTTTTACATCTACATCACTGGACTAATATGGCTACAATCTCTACTTGAACATATATATATATATATATATATATATATATATGTTCAAGTAGAGATTGTAGCCAATCTACATCTACATCACTGGACTAACATGGCTAATATATACTAATATGGCTACAATCTCTACTTGAACATATATATATATATATATATATATGTTCAAGTAGAGATTGTAGCCATATTAGTCCAGTGATGTAGATGTAAAACACAAATACAATTTGTATCTTGTAATACCTTTTTTATTGGACTAACGGAATTTTTTAATGACAAGTATTCGGGAGAACCTCCCTTTCTCAAGTCTAAAGCATTTCTAAGCAAGACGACACATAGAATTCAAAGTTGAGTTGTGATACAGGGTTTAAAGCGACATGTGCAGAATACATACATATATATATACACAAACTTTGGAGTATTCTATTGCATGCATTTATACAACTAGTTTGAGGTATTATTTATTGGTGACTGTGACTAGGTTGGTAGTTGGATGACAAGTGTGACAGAACTGGGAAAGGGTGCATGTATTTTTGCAGAGGCATTTTGTGGTGTTGTACATTTGTGGTAATGCTGCTTGTGGGGTTACATGTCTGGGGGTGGCTGCATTTAGGGCTGTATTGGGGGATTAGGAGCCTTAGTGGAGGGTAGTGGTTATAATTGGGTTATAGGGAATTTAGTGGAGAATTAAGGGCTGTAGTGGGAGGGTTAGGGCTATAGTAGGGGATAGGTGCTATAGTAGGGAGATAGTGGCTATGGTGTGGAGATAGGTGTCATAGTGGGGAGGATAGAGGCTATGGTGAGGGGATAGGGGCCATAACAGGGAGGATATTGGCTGTAGTGAGGGGAATTGGAATTGTAGTGCAGGGATAGGGTCCGCTACAAGGGAAATGGGGCTGTAGTGGGAGGTAAGGGACTATTATGGTGGAAAAGGAGAGGATATGGAGAGAGGCTGTTGTGGGGTGACAGTGATTATAGTATGAAAAAAGAGACTATAGTGGGAGGATAGAAATTTCTGTGGAATGGGTAGTCGGGTACAGTGGGATGACAGGGGTTGGAGTGGGTTGACAAGAGCTGTAGTGGGGTGACAGGGCTATACTAAATTGACAGGGGCTAGCCTTGGTTTGAAGTGGCTAAAGAGGGGTAACATGGGCTGTAGTGGAGTGACAGAGGCTGCTGTGGGATAACAGGGACTATACAGGGGTGAGGAGGGGCTATACTGTGTTTACAAGGGCTGTAGTGGGGTGACAGGAATGATGGCAGGATGACAGGGGTTTTGGTGGGGTAATGGGGCGGGGGCTGTATTAAAGTGTATTCCCTCCTCCCTGAAGCCTACCTTGGGTCAGGGAAGGAGGAAGCCAGTTTCCTGGTGGTCTGGTGGAAGATGCAGCATGTCGGAACCCCCAGTTTAGTGGCCAGCCTGGGGAATTTTTCCCCTGTCGAACTCAACCACACAGCAGGAGAATGGGCGGGCAGGTGCAGAAGATGTTTGATCTCCCTCACCGGCCATACTGGCCTGAGGCCATGGCCTAGGTTGCCTTGTGGCAAAGCAAGTTCTGAAAATTATTAAATTTTCCTTTAAAATATGTGATAACTCTTAAATACATCAATATAATTTTATGAATCTGATACCAAATATTTTCTGTGTTATACAAATAAATATTTTTTAATGTCTAAAATCTTTTACAAGTAATTATACACATGAAGCATAAAAATTCAAGGCACTGGTGGGACAGATTGGAGAGTGATGTGAACATTAGATAAAACAGATTAAACCATCTGTGAAACATTGCAGTGTGATTCACAATCTCAACAACATTGGAGTGACTGGTAAAGAATAGTGCTGCCATATTGTTAATGGCACTTTAATAATCAATTTAATCATTTACAATGCAACATATCTGTTCTAAAATTAACCAAATACATATTCCATCATGTTTACAACATAACATTACAATTTCATGATAATCAAATAACCCCAAATAATTATTTTTCTTTTTATGTTAAAGCATTGTAAGTGAAGAGGATCAATTTTGAAAATAAAAGTCAAAAAGCTGACCTGCTATTAAAAATGTTTTCCCCCTATATAATAAACTATGAGAATAAGATATTCACAAGGTCCCTCTGTGTCAGTTTCTAATCTACTTGTTTGTCTCCCTGTTTCTCTGTCTTCTTGTTTAGACCATTTCTAGTGCTACAGTTGTCCTACAGCAGACCTTTGCTGGAAGATTTTCCTTTTAAACTGATTCCAATCTCTTAACTACATGCTTTGTGACATTACAGAAATTAAAGATTCTGCTTGGTAAAATGCAACCTGTTTCATTTTTCCCTTTGACAGCTAATGCTGCCAAACTGACAAGCTGTGAACAATTATAAAATACATAATATATGCAGACATTGTCAAGAGATTTGGTTGTTGTTTGACCAAAAAGTACATTGTGGAAAGGAGAATAATTTAAGCAATTTCGTCCCTGATAACTAGTAAAAGACATGGTGGATCCAGCATCTTAAAACAGTTTATATCTGGCACTTTCAAGCACTACAGATTCTAAAATTCACAGACACTGGTGGAATATATATAAAACAAACAAACAAACAAAACAAATGAAAATTAAAACCATTGAGTAAAATGCTTTGCGTATCAGACTGGACTAGGCATAGTGGTTCAATCCTCTTTTTAACAACCGATTGAATGTAATCACTGAATAAACAAACTGACCCTGAAGCGGCATACCTATAGTAGAAAAGGACCAATCAAAATTCCTCTCCTCTTAGCTAAACATCTGACAAAATTCCCATTGTTGCTACTACTTTAAGGTAATAGTGTTAAAACCAGGTGTAAACTCAATGGCTTAAGTGTTGCCTAATGTGTCAACTGACAAAATCTAGTGGCCAGCTTCTCTCAGGAAGAAGGATAATGTCTCACTGTATTAAAATATATGTGCAAAATGTTTCATATAAAATTAACATTATCCAACAGGGCGTGCACTGAGTGAGGCACTATCATGTTAAGTGCCTAGGTGTCACTTCTTCAGATTGTGGCTTGGCACACAGTAATGGTTGTTATCAGTGATGAAATGACATTAGGGACTCATTCTTTGTACTATGTTGGTCATAATATTAAGAACTGGTGTTACCATCTGTAAGCTCATTTGAACAGGTTCCTCAACCTCTTGTTTCTGTAACATTTTGTAATTGTCTAATTAATAATTGCTAAATTTCCCCTTTTTTCTAATATTGTAAAGCGCTGTGAATTTAGTTGGCTCTATATAAATGGCAATAATAATATTAATAATAATAACACTGTCTATCCCTTCAACCCATTATCAAATGAATACCTACTATAGAAATATATGCCACGTCATGACAGAGATTATCTTCTCCCAATCGCCAAAATAATAAAAAGATCCTAATCCAACAAAACACTTTAGGGATGAGGTGAAACAATTTGTTTGCATATGAAATGTGTAACAAACACTGATGTACATATTACTGTATACGTACAGGCACATAAGCAAGGCATGTGCATGCATTTATTTGTAATTTATTTTGGTTTACCATAATGGTAAATGCAAAGATTATAAAATAGGACATAGTACTCAAAAACTAAAATAGCATCTGACAGAGCATGCATTAAAAAAAACTTGAGATTTCATGATGGAGGCTGACAGATACCGAATGCATGTTATATTCTCAGAGGGCTACATAATTAAAATGTTCCTTTTTAAAATGACAGAAAAACAAAAGGAAAGCTAATTCCTGTGAAAATGATGTATACATCTCCCATGGGATTATTCACAAAAGTCTGCAGGTTTATAAAAGTTGTTTTCAACTGCTTGTTTACTTATTCACTTAAGTTTAATTCCAAATATAATAATCATTACTACTGTGAAAATTAGCAGATTTTATCTGACCCTGTCAGCATGTTTATTAAAAAATTCCTCTTTATTAGTTCACTTTAAACGAAGGATTAGGCAGACATTCAGGAACATTTTGGTTATTCTGAGGTCATGGGGGTGACTGCCCCCATCCAGCAACCAAAGAGCAAAGTAGTAAGTAATAATTTATATTCTTCTTCATTTGGCTATATTAACCTTAATTGCAAGTACAGGTTAGGGGGATTCACTTTCAGTTTGGCAAGATACAAGCAATCTACTTTTATTTTTCATCGTTATTTTATTTTTAAAGTTTTAAAATGTTTTTTTTTCCCTCTAGTTGGGTATTCCAATTGACCATATGTAGAACTCATATTCAACAGTGTTTTACCTTTTTACTAGGAGAAGAGAATAAGAAAATAGGAGACAAACTATTACAAATGTTAACAGGGACAAGAGGTTAATTAGGGCCTTGCGGAAATAGTCAGCTTGCTATAATTTAACTGCCAGTTGAATATACTCCTTGCGTGACGTGATTTTAACCAACAGGATGAAATTTTACAAGCAACTTTAGGAACCGAACATTCTCCTCACATCATCTATTTTATCCAAGATTATATGTCATGTTGGAATGCTTGTGAAAGTCACCTTTTTGATAAAACAACACTTCCCTATGTTTATTATAGAGAGAGTGCACATGGAACAAGTATAGACAAATTGATATATAAATTATGCTTCCATTAATACCCAGAACTGTTTCTTTATTATAACATATAACACAGCAGGTAAACCATTATACAGCTATAATTTTAAACAAAATTCACAAATTTCATTTTTACTCATTTTACCAGCTTTTATATAAACCCACAAAGATTGCCACCATCTTGGTCACACTAAACTGCCATCATCAAAATTTAAACATGGAAAAGTTGCTTTCAGTACACTAAGTATAGTTGTCTAATAACCCCCACAGCTTGTTTGAGGATTCAGTATATATATATATATATATATATATATATATATATAGGAAGAAAACCATCAGTGTCAAATCAAATTATGCAATTACAAGTGAAATC